TCTTCCACACCTCATATGTACATACAGAACCACAGAGTCGTATTGGAGAAACGAGCTTTTGTGCAGCGAAATGATAAGAGCAAGTTGGTTCTTCTGCAACATCTGTGATGCTAATATAACACAATGTGACTTAAACTCGTCCCAGTGTGCAGCAAACAAACTAAAACACACAGAAACCCAAACCTGCTGGAATATCCAGAAATATGAAGGTGTGTCTCAGTGGAGCCTCCGTACGTTTTTAGCCCAAAGCTTCAGCAACACAAAGGAGAACTGGATTTATTAAGACAACAAATGAAAAGATGGATCAAGGTGGTTGAGAGAACAAGTGATCGATCAGAAGCAAGTCAGTGTTGATCTTCCTTCACCATAAAACTAGACACAACTACAGTAGACTTCAAAATCTGTCACAAAGGACAAACAGCGACGAGTCGATGAAGAAATCTGAACAAAAAATGATGCATTTAACAAACTGAGTCGACAACAAACACGACTTGGAGAAAATCCTGGGATCCTAAATGCACCGCACACTGAATAAACGATGGAGAAATAACATGTAAAGAAAATGAAAATAACCTGCTGTATTGTCTGTTCTGTCTCCTTGTGATGATCTCTGGACCACAGCAGGTGTACAGGACGGTGGAGCCGACCATCAACACGACAGTAACGGCCGTCACTGGTGAGAAAACTCTGTCTGGAGTCAGATTACAGATCAAACACCAGATTCAAGAGTCGATTAAATTAGCATCTATAATACATTTTTCTGTACAAATGATAACAATAAGTTTCTGGAGTATTTACATAAACATCCCAGTGTGAATATTGTGTTTGTTTTCAAGCTAAAACAAAGTGTTTTTGGAATTAAGTTGGAGCTGAATGGAAAATCTAACTAAATGTAAATTTCTTGTATAACTTCTCGTATAAACTTCATCCATGAATCTCAAAATATTTTGTTATATGTTTTAAATGATTGTTCCAGATTGTGTGATTAACTCGTGAAAATATGAGGAATTATTTGCAGAACAGCTGCAGCTAAAGATTATTTTTACCGTCGATTAATTGATTGATTGTTTGAAATTTAAAAAAAAACTTGAAAAATGTCAAATTTATCTGTTGAAAAAGCACAAAACAGCGACAATAAACTGATACGGTGCTGAGAAATAGACGCATGTGACGGTTGAAAGAATAAAATACAATAAAGGAGGAAGAAGAAAACATTAGAATTTAAAAATTACACTATAAAAGTTAAAAAGGAAGGTTTTTAATTTCCTCATAAACATATTGGAAGAGCAGCGTTTTCCACAACAAACAGACGTCGACTCACTTTTATCTGTTAATCAGCCAAATGTTTTTCATCAATCAATGAAATGTAAACAATAAATTTCTTATTCTGTTCCACCAAACAGGATAAGTTTCGTTGAGCAACAACTTGTGACATCTGGGAAGCTCAGACGCGTTGCCTTCAGTGTTTTGTTCGAAAATAACTACGACTGTTATTCTCCTGTTGAAAACGCAGAGTTGTCGTTATTGGGTGGAAACTATACGACACATTACAGCCAATAGAACCGTTTCTGATGTCAGTGAGTGTTTGATGTGTTTAATATCCTCGTGAAGGCGCCTATATGTGAAAACTAGACTGTGATTAACTTAAAGACGGGTTGAATATAAAACGGTGGAAAAAGACGTTCATCAGTAGGTACAGTTTGTCAAAATGTCCACAAACATCACAAAACACAGGATGTCTTCTGCCTATTTCATATCGTGTTAATGAGCCAAATACTTTCTCAATCAAATTATTCATCGTTTGAACTTTAAAAGTAAAAAAAATACCAGTTACAGCTTCACAGGCGTCTTATTTCGTCCAGTCAAATATCCCAAACCCCAAAATGTTCCGATTAATGAGGCGGTAACTCCAGAAAAACTTCCACAAACGTCTCAAAATATAGGAAAAATGTAGTGTGTTTCATTTTCTATTAATTAACCACATATTTTCTCAATCGAATGGTATAATTTGGACTCTGAAATATAAATAATATCCAGAAATATTTCATGTCATTAAGCAGATATTTGAGAAATTGTCACAATTTTTGCTTGAAAAATGACAGAAACTATGATTTTCCAGTTGATTTATTCACCAAAAAAACGAATAATTCTTGTTATTGGGGTGGAAACGAATGATTTTGTTCATCATTGATGTTTGTCAGGCTTCAAATGTTTACTTTCATGTCGCGCAATTTATGGCGAGACGAAGCTGGAACCACCGAATGTTTGTCAGTGAATTCTAGTTTATAGCAGATATTTGTTTTAGTTCAGTGTTGACAAAAACATGATTATATGAATGACAAGAGGTCGCTGCACCTGAAACAGGCCCGACTGTTCTCTCTGGTTTTTACACTTCAGTCTTTGTGTTCAGATGTTTTTTTCTGAGACTCCCTGTTGGTGTGTCCTCCAGATACGTACCAGTTCCTCAGCGACCCTCCTCCTGACCTCTACCCCAGCGTGGCCGCCGTGGGTTTCTCCGGCCTCCTGGGACTCTATCTGGCCAAAGGTGAGCCGCAGCAGACGGGCTGATGACACGTAAACACGAGAAAAAATCAGGGATAGATCAAGAAAAAAACGCAGCTTTTGTTGTTCCAGATTCAAACAGCGCTTGTGTGTCTTTCTAATGAGGCAGCCTTGAAAACAGAATGAGTTCATCAGCCTCCAGAGAACGGCTTCCTTTTTAAAATCATAAACTTTGGGTATTTAAAATGGTTTCTGTGTTTAACTTGATATATCAAATTCTTTTTTTTTTAAATGCACATCGACCCACTTAGAATAATCAATCAATAACATTAATTTCACATTAATTTGGCCAGAAATTCGGCTTCTGTATGGAGCTCCTGGTGTGCTAACGATGACCCCCGTCGAGCTCACAGACATTATAAACATATTTTAAATTCAGTGTGACGCACACTTTCCAGTAATGTCTCGTGTGTGGTGTCTGTGTTCAGTAAACGCCACTAAATCTGCTCAGAAGTCACTGGAAAAACATCCTCATCACTGCAGAACTTGATTGACAATTAGCACATTTTTAGCTTTTCTTCAGTCGTAAACTAAATCAGTGGTCGTAGTCGGTGCTTTAACGGCCTCAGCGCAACCTGGAGCTGCTAACGGCTAATTCAGCATCAATTTAATCACGACGATTTGACAAATACGGGCTGAAAACGTCGTGGCTCACCGCTAACGAATGGGCTTCTTGCTACATGTTGTGCTGAAGCTACACAACAGGAATTTAAATGTTTTTCACTGCTGTTTGTTTAAATGTTGATGTTTCCCTTTAAAATCCACTTAAACACACTCGATAGGGAGCTGAGGAGCTGCCGTCGTCTTCCAGATCAGATAGTAAATCAGTGAAGGTAACGAGCAGAGGAACAAAAGGTCACATCAGGTCACTGTGAACTCTGTTGATCTGTTTCAGGCTCCAGGGTGAAGCGCCTCGTATTTCCAGTCGGACTCATGGCTCTGAGTGCCTCCATGTTCTACCCTCAGCAGGCCGCAGCCTTGTTAAAGGTACACAGCAGGACTACAGCAGTACTACAGTAGTACTACAGCAGTACTACAGTCGTACTACAGTAGTACTACAGCAGTACTACAATAGTACTACAGCAGTACTACAGCAGTACTACAGCAGTATGACAGTAGTACTACAGCAGAACTACAGCAGGACTACAGCAGGACTACAGCATGTCCTGAACGTCTGGGTGGTTTTTCAGTTCTGTGATAACAAGACGACTCATTCTGTTCTCTACATGAATATTCACAGAGAACGTTGTGCACAAGTCTTCAACACTTAAAGTTCATCAAAGAGACTCGTTTAAATGGTTAAAGAAGGACCGAGCAGAAAGGTTGTTCAGCATCAGTCTTAGTGCCTCTGACTCTCTATGTGGTCCAGATTGACCAGAACACCAGAACTCTTTCCACTGACTGGTTGTAGACTGGTGTTGGGGTGATTTTTGACCTTGGATTGAGGTTGGACAGGTTTTGATTTCAACTCTTTGGTGTTTTTGGTCTTGACTGGATTCAGACAGATGTTGGGCGAGTTACAAACTGATTTGGACTTTGTTTTGGATGGTTTTTGGCACACTTTAGACTGCTTTCAGGTTTAGTTTTAGACTTGGTTTTGGACTGCTTTCAGACTTGGTTTCAGACTGGTTTGAGACCTAGTTTTGAGCTGGTTTTGTTCTGGTTTTAATCTGCTTTCAGATGTGGTTTTAGATTGTTTTGAACTGGTTTTGCTGGTTATAGACTATTTTCAGACTTGGCTTTGAAGTGGTTTTAGTCAGATTTCCAGCTGGTTTTTCTGCTGGTTTCATATCTGGTTTTGGGAGGAGTTTCAAGCTTGCTGACTGGTTTTAGACTACTTTCAGCTTTGCTTTCGTACCTGGTATTGGACTGATTTGAACTGGTTTTGGGCCAACTTTGGTTTTAGATTCAGTTTTGAACTGACTGGGTTGTTTGGGGGGCGATTCAAAGTTGTGTGTGACTGCTTTTAGACTAGTTTCAGCTTTGGTGTTGAACGGTTCTGGACTTGGCACTAGACTGGATTTGAACTGTTTTCAGACTAGTTGTTGGCTGATTTCAGACTTGGTTTTGAACTACTTTTAGACTGGTTTTGGACTGGTTGTAGACTCATCATAGACTGATTTCAGACTCGGCTGTGCACTGGTTTTAGACTTAGTTTTAGACTTGGTTTTGAACCGGTTTTGGATTGAGTTTAGACTTTAGTTGAATGATCGAGTGGCTTGGTGTTGGACTGGTTGAACCACATTTGAACTGGTTGACTCAGTATATCTACATAACATCCATACGTCTGTGATTTGTTGGTGCTTTGGAGTCGCTTCAGCTTCATGATGACAGGAGACAGACTGAAGTCCTTCTGACACGTTCTGGTTGCTTTGAACTTTTAGATCCAGTAACTCACTGATACATGGAGTTTAAAGGCGATCTAACAGAAGAGCTGCTTCATGGCTGCATCATCTTTCTTTTTTAATAGTTTGATAAACACACAGTAACCATCGTCTGTTATTCAGGGACAAAGCTGTTGCTGCTTTTAGTCGCTTCAAGTTTTCATTTTGTTATATTTATAGGATTGACAGCACAGGAGAAAACGTCATCCAAACGCTGGATTTTCCAGTTTTTAACACATCTGATGTCAACGGAAACGTTCATCTGATGGAGATAAAAACATTTAAACTCTCTTTATTTAGTCACCGACTGACCGTCAGGAAACAGCTGCCAGCACCACCGCTCTGCTCTTCTGTTACTCTTTGGTACCAAATAGGCCTGTTCTGGCCACAGAAAGCTCTTTGTTGGAGACTCTTGACTGGAAACCGCTGTGGAAAATCACACCCTGACCTCACCAACCGCATCCCTCACATTCAGACTTTCCAGGCATGATGTTATCGGCGTTTGTGTGCGTTTGATCTGGGTCCGGCTTCCCTTTAGGAAAGGGCTCAGCTTCCGTGCAGGAAGTGCAGGCTGTGAATTGTGTGTTGTGATTTCCACTGGTGTCTGGGTCATATTATTTAACGTGCTTCCTTCACACAGTCACAGTCACCCTGAACTTTATGTGGATCGACCTGTGGGATACGATTTTACCCGTTTAAACTCACACTAAACTAGAAACCAGTATGTTGCAGTCAGAAAGAAACCACAGTTAATCACATAGACCATATTTGTGTTTTTGTTGAATGTAACGCCTCTTCTGTAAAGTCTCATCATCCAACAACTTCAGATAACTCTCCTCCCCCGTGTCGTCTCTTATACCTGCTTGACTAATCATGTTTTTGTCTTTCCACCAGGTGAGCAGAGACTCGGCGTACAGCTGGGCTCAGCAGGGCCGAACCGCCGCCGAGAACCTCTGGAAAGATCCACCGTTTGCCAAGAAGAAGGTGAGTCTGGTTCCGCCCAACACTTGTCTATTCTTATCAGTTTTTTATCGGTCGCCTCTTCTGACTCTTTGCTTCTTTCTTGGTGAAGCCGGAGAAGAAAGAGGCGACAGAGAGCGACGACGCGAGCAGCTGAAGGAGAATCACACCTCAGTGACACACCTGCACATGAACTGGGCTTATTTCACACACAGACAAACTCCCAGAGCCGCACATCTGGATCGGTTCGCTTGTCTCGCTTTGTTATGTAGCAGAAGCTTATCAGCCGAGTCGTTCCTGAACTCCGCCGCCACTTCCAAGAAGCATCTCTCTGGATAGCTGAGCAGGTTTTATTCAGATTACTTCCTTAAATGTGCTTCTTGGAACAGCCCTCGTAAACATTTCTCCTTTTTCCTTCGATGAACTCGGCTCAGAAAATCAGGTCACATGATTCTGCTGACATAGCATCCACCACTGACTCGTCCTCAAGCTTCAGCTTCACAGACCGCGACAGACATGAAACCTTTTTCAAACGAATCCCTGTCAAAATGACTTCCTTTTACTCATCTTACTTAACACTCAGTGGAATATTTTGGGACTTTCAGAAACTTTTTAGTGGATTAAACAATGAATTTATGCACTTACACAATAATTTGCAGATTAATTGATATTGAAAATAGGTGTTAATTGCAGCCTTAGAGGGAATATTCACATTGAACCTTAGTCCTCCTGATCAGTCTAACAGAGAGTCAGATACTCAGCCAGCAAGAACTACATTTTCAATCAAGTAGCATTCCTATGCTAGCAACTAGCATTCCTAGCCTAGCAACTACAATTCCTAGGCTAGCAAATGGCAATATTAGGCTGACAACTAGCATTCCTAGGCTATCAGCTAGCATTCCAAGGCTAGTGACGAGAATCTTTAGGCTGACCACCACCATTCCCAAGCTCATAAATGGCACTTCCAGGCTGGTTGCTAGTGTTTCCACGTTAGCCACTAGCGTTACTCGACTGGCAACCGGCATACCTAGACTAGCATCTAACGTTCCTGAGATACAAACTGGCATTTCTAGCCTAGCAACTACAATTCCTAGGCTAGCAACTGGCATTTTTGAGCTAGTCACTAACATTCCCAGGCTAGCCACTAGCATTCCAAGTCCAGCAACTAGTAGTCATGGGCTAACTACCGTCATTCCTGGACTAGCAACTAGCATTACTCAGCTAGCGACTGGCATTCCTAGCCTAGCAGCTATAATTCCTTGGTTAACAAATGACAATCTTAGGCTGACAACTAGCATTCCTAGGCTATCAGCTAGCATCCTAGGGCTAGTCACAAGAATCTTTAGGCTGACCACCACCATTCCCAAGCTCATAAATGTTACTCCCAGGCTCATTGCTAGTGTCTCCATGCTAGGCACTAGCATTTCTAGGCTGATAACTAGCATTTGTGGACTGGCAACCGGCATTTCTAACCTAGCAACCACAATTCGTAGGCTAACAACTGCCATTTCTAGGCTAGTCATTAACATTCCCAGGCCAGCAACTAGCATTCATGGGCTAACCACTGTCATTCCTAAACTAGCAACTAGCATTACTCGGCTAACGCCTGGCCTTCCTAGTCAACGAGCATTCATGGGCTACCGACTGGCATTCCTAACCTAGCAACCCCAATTCCTAGGCTAGCAATGAGCATCCCTGTGCTACCAACTGGAATTCCAAAGCTAACATTCCTGGACTAGCAACTGGAATTCCACAATTACTGGGCTAGCAACTAGCATTCCTGGGCTAGCAACTGGAATTCCAAAGCTACAAACTGGCATTCTTAGGCTAGTCCCTAGCATCTCCAGGCTTGTCACAACCATTCCTGAGCTAACAGCTACCATTCCCAGGCTAACAAATAGCATCACCAGGTTAGCAACTTGTAATCTTGGGCTAGTGGTCAGCCCCACAGGCTAGTCATTTGTCTCCCTGACGGTATTTTATAAACACGGAACAAACTGTGTGTATGACGTGTAGGCGAGGTGCACATATACGGTCGCTTTTACATAAAAGGGATGCTAGTTGCTAGTCGAGGAATGCTAGTTGCTAGCTGAATGCTAGTGAGCAGTAAAGTCAGGTGTGTATCCAGTGGGTTGCTGATGTAGGCAGGTGAATATATGTAGAAATAGAGAAATAGTGAACTGCTCCTTTAAGCCTTTTCAGCATAATGACGTGAGGTTTTTTATTGACCAAACTATCCGATAACAGCAGCTTTTAGAAGCCAGTTTTTAGTCCACATTTGTCAGATAATTCAGCGGGTTTTTAGATCATTTATTCTGCTTTCTCACGTATCAGAGATCAGTCGAGCTTTCTGTGGACTCGTCACCTCCTTCTGTGGCATAAAGGAGGGTTTCTGTGCTCACGAGTTTCAGTTTCTGACTCACAACTGTTGAATGTTTTGTTCAGGTCACACTGTGATGCTTTTATTTCTGCTGTGATCCAATGAAGGGCCAAACGACGTCTGCATCCATCCATCCTAATTATTAATGAAGCGTTAATTGTCCATGTCTGATGAAGCGCTGTATATACTGTGTGTAATTAAATCTGCTATTTATCACTAAACACACACACAAGTGTTCTCGTCTTATGAGCTGCTGGTCATCATAGAAACATACAAAGTGAAGGTCGGGCGCATTTTCATCAGTTATTGTTTGCACAAGTTAACACCAGAAAGATATTCATGTTATTTTAGAGAACCAATAATGATTATTTTGGACTATAATTTATTTTCTGATTAATAATGTTCAAGAATAAAAACAGTAAAAGTAATATTTACTGAGCTTTCTATGTTCCAGCTTCTCCTCCCTTTTGTCTGATGTTTGAGGCTTTGAGGCTGCAGACACACTGGAAAAAGGTTGGTTTTCCTTGAATTCCCGATAAAAAGCTTCTGCTTAAAGTGTACATTTGTGCTCAACTTGAATTTATTTTTCCCTTTTCAGCATCCTGCTTAGAGGGGCTGCATGATGTGTGTGGAATATATCAGTTTACAGCACGACAGGTGTGTTTCATGTGAGTAGTTTTCATTAATAGCAGCATTTATTGTCAGTTTTTGTTGATTTAATGATAGGTGGATGATGACAGAGCAGTTTTGGGGCTTAAGGGTGGATTAAATGAGTCACAAATCACCAAAATAAACTAAATATAGAGTAAATGAATGTTTTTATCTAACTCTGAGCTCACTGTGCAGGTGATTGGTGAGTGAGGTTTGTTCTCCACTCAGCTGATATCTTTCATTTTCAGAGTGTATACATTAAATTTCCAGTCTGATGCTTGTGGCTGCAGCACTTCCTCCTGTAACTGCTCACAGAGTTCACTGCTGAGGCTCCTAATCAGGAGTGAATGCAGATTTATCGGCTATGAAAGAGTTTTTCAGAAGCCGCATCAGCTGATTGCTTTCGTGCCGGAGCTGAAATACGACTTCAGTCAGTAAACGCCACGTATGTGAAACGAACAGGAACCCTCTGAGCCTCTGAGCGCTGCTTCCTCTTCAGACGGTTAAAAGCGGTTTAAGTTCCCCAAATGCTGACGTCACGTTCGCTGCAGTGCTGCACGTGAACCTACAGAAGCGTTCTGAAGGGTTCCTCACATGACCCTGTGAAAAGCACACAGTGTTCACGCCACTAAACGCTGCTGCTGCTGCTGTCGGGTTTCCAGACTGGGAGGACAGAGGTGACCTCAGACAGCCGATACTTTGAGCCGCCGTGTCACCGCTGAGTCTAAATGTGGCTTCAGGTGCATCGCAGGACGAGAGGATTCTGATATTCTGCCGTTCGTATCTGTAAGGTTCAGTTAAATAACCGACTGACAGTAAAAGCTCCTCCGTGGATCTCCAGGTCGGAGCCTCATAAAGAACCGACTCAGCTCGACATTTATTGAAGCTTATGAACTCTTTGACAAAGTTTCAGGATCGACTTCTAGAAGCAGAACTCTGGTTTCACCTCCGTCCACTTAAACTACAACGTGCTGAAAGTGCACCATAAAAACAAGGTGTGTTCAGCTTTGATGGGAAAAGGAAACGTCCACATAGAAAACGACCACGAGAAAGAATCAGTGGATGTGTTGAGTTTCTCTGAAATACCATCAGCTGACTGTGACACACGGAGAAGATCCATGTTGTGAGCTGACGCTATAACGAGCAGCTTGAATGTTCTGTAAACGGGTTCATTTCAGCGACTCGATGATCTCAGAGCGTTTCGTGGCTGTTCTGGACCTTTGAGTTATAAAAACGCTGCCATGTGTCACAACAGCCACTAAGTCGACATTTTGGTTCCATTGTTCCCTCAAACAGTTTCCAAAGTGGAGACTGAGCTCTAAAGTTTCACATTTTGTTGCTCGTTGCTGCTGTTTACAGGACTGACTGTATATGTAGCACTTCATGGTGCATTTTGCACTTGGATCAATATATTTGATGCTTGTTGTGTTCATTTATTCGTACTGTGGTGGGAACACTTCACTCTTTCTGCTTGCTGTTGTAGTTTCCCTGCAGGGATCAACAAAGTGTTCCTATTCTGCTCTAAGTCGACTGAATTCAGACGAAGAATCAAATTAAACTTGATGAACTGACACAGAGCCGTGTGAGATCAGTTACAGTTTTATTCCAAACATAATGGATCTTACACTAAGAATAAACGCTGGATTAAACACACGTGATTCAGAGCTACATGTGAATCAACAAACTAAGACTGAACTACGAACACAGTGTTACTGTGAAACTTCCTCTTTAGAAGCTGAACTCCTGCCGGCGAGGCGTCCCCGTCGGACCCTCGTCGCTCCTCCTCTCCGTCACTCCTCGGCCGGCGTGGCCATCTTGACCAGGCTGTCCTTGTCGAACCGGAACAGCCTCCAGCCCTCCTCCTGGGAGAGATCCTCGGCGCCGCGGCGCTTGTAGAACTGGACGGACGGCTCGTTGTTCTCGGCCACCACGAACATCATGCCGGTGCAGCGCGTCTTCATGGCCAGCTGGACGGAGAACACAGAGGTAACGTCGTAAACAACATTTCCCATAATGCATTTTAGTCATTTAAATCTTAGAAAAAAATTTAATCTACACTATACATGTTCCTCCAAATGAAGAACTGCTGCTTTCAGCTCTAAATTTAAGCATTTTTAATTTGAAAAAAATAACATTTACTCACTTTTTAAACAAGAAAAGCAAGAATGGAATCATGTTTCCTCTTTAAGTTTTTTTCTTTTCTATTTCTCTCAAACCTCATTTTGTCTGTTTGTCTTAAGTGCAATAACATCAGACAATAAACGTACAAGTTATAACAGAGCATGACAGAAGTAAAGACGGGAATGAATACATAACAAAGTGCTAGAATGCGTCTGAAAACACTGTTAGAAAGAGTTTTACACTAAAACAAGGACTCACGAATAAAAACATCATTAAAATTAATTAAACACTTAAAAAAATGCTACAGGGGATTTAAAAGCAGCTGCTAATGTTTACTGTAATAAATTTCAGACTCACGTCACTGAGGTGCCGCAGGATCTCCGAGCCGATGCCGAGCCCTGAAAGCACATTTAAAGGATTTAATTAAAACCAAGACGCTGCAGGGGAGCAGCTCAACGTGAGCCAGGACGGGGGGACGCTTTTATCTCTCAATCAATCAGACTTTATCTCTGTAGCACTTTTCATACAAACAGAAACACAACAGAAAATAAAAACACAATAAAACAACACAAACAAGGCCCACAGTCATGTTATCAATAAAAGCATTCAAAGAACTGAGGAGACGCTGTCCTGCATGAGACACTGGCTGAGATCAAAGAAAACAAGCTGGATAGATGTTACCTCTGTACTCGTCCATCACGTAGAACTCCTCCAGGTACAGCTGCTTGCCCACCCAGGGGTCGTAGGTGAAGTAGTACATGGCGAAGCCCACCACCTTCGGATCTGCACACGGGGGATTTTAGACGATAAGAAAGTGGACTTAAAAAACACTCACAGAATTAGGAAGGAAACAAAATCAGGCCAGTAGCCGTATACAAAACACAAAGCAGTCGATATAAATAATCGGGGCCAAAGGTACATTTCCAGAGCTGATTAAGCAGCACAACATGTCCCTGTAAACCACATGAAACCACATGTAAGCCGTTCAGCTCAGAGTGTTTTATCTCCACGCAGGTCGATGCCTGTCTTCTACAGGCTACATGACTGGACCTGTTACTTGCTTAATAAAGTGCATTTAATGTACATTTATCCCATCACAGATCAATCCTTCTACCTTTGACCTACTTGTGGAGGTTTGCCTCCCGGGAATCAAAACATTCTTGAACTGTAATTATCAGGAACGTGCTCCGAACTGTGGTACCGCACTCATCTATAACATAGAACGCTCTGGAACAAACTGTGCGTTTATTCAGGAGCACCTGAGTGTCAACAGGTTATCGAGAAACGTGTAACACAAGTTGGAGTTGAACTTTCGGTTCCGTTTCCTGATTCAATCTGTACATTGGATCAGTGAAAACGTGCACAAAAGAGCTGCAGCCGGCTTCACTCGCTGTACAGCATCAACACAAAGACAGGAAGCACACGATGGAAAACACACTGTACAGGTGCACAGAGAAGCGATTTCAATCCCTCTATCAGTGGCCTGGCTGACCCTGAGCAGGGCTCCTCACCGTCACTGCTGCTCTCTCCTTGGATCTCGGCGATGATGCAATGGTAAAACGGGGTGTCACCAAATCCATCCTCAAGGAGTTCTACGAGGAAACGCACACGTTAGGCAAACACAATGGAGACAAGTGCTGCTAGCGCGGCCACTGAGGCGACTTGAGGCTCACCTTTCTCAGTCAGTGTCACCTGGTGCTCCATCTCTTCGTATTTTGCAAGTTCCTGGGACGAGAGAGGACAGAGAGAACAGCTTAGTGCCGACAGCTTTGTTAACAGTAAATCTGCCATTTAACATGAACAAGGAACAAAAACCAACATTTTGTGCTCAGTGGGACGTTTTACAGTCACTCATACGAGCCCATCTGGACGGTTTAACGTCTGTGTCGGTCGGTTTTCAAGCACAACTTCCAGGATTTCTTTCTGTTCTATAAACCGAATACAGTCTGAGTATCACGACCGCGCTGCCTCGCGCCTCAGGCACATTCCTAACTTACTCTGTGTACAAATCAATGATTTGAGGAAACAACTTGCGGATTAATCCAAGAAAACCCTCATTAGTTGCGGTTGTCATGCTGATAAATGAGAAGTAGGAGCTGCTTCTGACTACATACCGGCCAACATCTGTGATTATAATCTGTTTATTATACGTGGAGTCTTTCATTAAGGACAAACTCCACATCTCCTCTATAACACCCACTGGTCTCCACGTTTTCACCAGAAAATACTTCAGATTCTTGAAACGCCACAACATGAATTTGAAGACGTCTTTGTGGACTGGAGAGCATTACAGTTTTATTTATGAGGGGGTAGGACTGTACTTCTCGTCTGTATGTGCTTCTAAATATTAAATACAACGTGTCTGTTGTTAGATAGCTCCACCACATACACCAGAATGATAATACATCTGTGATTATGATGCGATAAATTATACAACATGCCACTTATGAAGGAAACAATGCCATCATTTTAGTCAATAACCTGCTTTTCTCTGTATTTACACTAAAAAATACTTCTTATGTTTGGACTGCTGGCCACAAAAAATATAGATTTGTGAGACAACATTTCGGAGTTTCTAGATTTTAGACACATTTTTGGGAGGAAACTGTTAATTGTCATTTAAACAGGCTTATAAATGTTAAATAGGATCCGTTTCTGGTCAACTAATGGCCAACATTTACTGTCACACTCACATATCTGTGATTATTATTATTATGTGATAAATTGTGCTATACACTAGTTTTCTATGTATTTTCACTGGAAACATTTTGTTGGGGGGTTGCTGGCCACAGAGGTTTAACAGTTTGTTCTGTTCTGGTTGTTGCTTGTTAGATATTGTCCAACATAAAGCTTAAAGCCAACACGTATGTGTTTATTATGTGGTTTACCGTATTATTTATGAAGGAAATATCATCATTTTAGTCGCTAAGCTGCTTTCCTCTGCACTGACACTCTAAACGACAGATTTGAAGACCGCTGGCCACAAAAACAACAAATAAACAAAGGATATTATGGATTAGGGAACTTTTTATTCTATTTTTCTTTTTGAAGGAGCTGTTTATTTGGCTTTTATATACATATATATGCTAAATATGGGCCGTTGCTTGTTAAATACTGGCCAACATATAACACACAAGACGAACACATGTGTGATTATGATGTGATTAATCATCACAAATATCATTTATTGAGAAAATGTCTTAATTCTAGGAGATTACCTGCTTTAATGTGCATTTAGAGAGGACAAACTTTTGGATTGCTTGCCACACAAAACGTAAACAAACAAACAAAAAGGCATCACTGTGGATTAGGGGACTTTTTATTCTAGGTTTTATTTCTCTTTATGTGTGTACACGTTAAGTAGGGGCTGTTAAACTGACATACTGTGATTATTATGTGACAAAAATGTCATTTACTAAGGAAACACCATAGTTCTAGGAGATGACCTGCTTTTTTTTATACCTTTTTATCTGCAAAATATTTGGATTATTTCATTGCAGATTGTTTTAGGATTTCTCTTTAGATGTAGGAACTTCTGATGGGTGTTTCTTTCACACAGTAAACCATGAGGAGCGAGGTGTGAGGACGCCCGTCAGCAGCCTTGTTGTCTCTGTCAGGTGGCGCTTACACAACTCTAATCACACATCATCTCCCGGACGTCAGCGCGGCGACAGACGGACCATATTTGGGAAACTGTGTCAGTCAGCGCGGAGGAATGAGCCGTAAACAAAGGCGCCGAGCTCGGACATCCTCCGGACATTTTCCACCTGCTTCCCCATCAAACAGGCGTCGACTGACGTTATCTGCCGCTGTCGAGGCTAGCAGTCCGTTAGCTACAGGAACAGCTTAGTAAACAGCTAGCCGTTAGCTAAAGTAACGGTGAAGTAAACAGCTAGCCGTTAGCTAAAGTAACGGTGAAGTAAACAGCTAGCCGTTAGCTAAAGTAACGGTGAAGTAAACAGCTAACTGTTAGCTCAACAGTTTCACTCAACACTAGCAGTTGTGTTAAATTACCATCGAATACTATCAAATTTAATCGATTTTTATGACTTTTAAGCCCCAGTATTTTCTTCTCCTACAGGCCTACCTTCACCAGTCGTAATATATCAGAGACGTCCTTGGGTTCAGCTTTTCGTAATTTATAGTCCATTTTCTTCTTTTACTCTTTTTTCCTTTCGTGAGAAGTCCTCTGTATGTGAAGTGGAAGATTAGATGTTTCTTCATTCGCTTCAGAGTGGCTTTATCCCCACAGTCAGCCTCTGGTCCGGACGCGTTTGTCGAGACAAGAACATCCAGTTAGAGTCGCCCTTCGGCCGGGTCGCTGCCGTTCAACTGCCTTCTCCTTTGTTTACATCGCCTTATTTATACCCGGCTCCGGCTGGACTGTGATTGGTCGGCTCGCACCCGTCTCGGATTTCTAGCGAATCAGCGACACCTTGTGGCGGCCGTTTAACCAATGGGAGCGCAAGAAGTAGTCACGTGTGGGATTGTTTTTATTCTGTCAGGATCTTTGTTTTTGATGGCGAAGGAAGAAACTCCTAAAAGTTTTAAGTAAAAGTTTATGAAAATACTCAATTTGAAGTAAACGTTTAGCATCTTTGCTGGATTAAAATTGTAAATATATATGTATTTGTAGTAATGCATGTGCATAAACAGAGAAAATAAAACCAACCTTTCTCAAGAGTAAGCAAACTGTCAGGAACACATTTGATAGTGTTCTTGGTTTCACAAGCAACAAAAAGACTTTTCTGGCTCAGAATTTGTGGGTTTATTGTGCATGAAAACAAACATGATTTCAAAACAGTGAGTCACTGACCTGAAGCTCTTTATTTTCATGTCATGTTTGACCATTTAATAAGCAAAAATGTTGAACAGGCTCGAATAAATGAAACTCCAATCATCAAAAGCTGCTTGATTCTACTTTCTTTTTAAATTCTTGGTGATTTTCCGTGTCCGGCCTGTTTAACTTTTTGGGATTTGTCAAAAAATTCCTCCAGTTGGGAATACCTGGACTGCAATGAGAGAAGTGGAATTTTCCACCAGTGACACAGAGAGCATATCTCAGCGGGGTTGGGCCGGGTCGAGTTTCAGCCTTGTTACTGATGGGTGATGAAACAATGGGCTCCTGAGCAAAGGCAGGTAAAAAGGCCCCACACGCCCAGACTGGAAGTGACGCAGAACACCCACGAGGTACACAAACATGTTGAATCTCCGGTCTTGTGTCATGCAGATATTTCGTCATTTTATATCTCTGCATAGTTTTGTGACTCTTCTTATTGTTTTTTTAAATATCTGTTTGAAGATAGTTTATGACTCTTTGTAGTCATGCTGCACCTTTTTTGTGCTTGTTATACATCTCTTTGTGTGTCTCTATGTATTTGTTTTGCACCTTCTTGTAGAGGTGTTGCATCTTTTTGTGGTTGTTGTACATCTCTTTGTGATCACTTTGTGTGTCTTTGTGGTCATTTTATATCTTTGTTGTAGGCAATACAATTTCAGAGTGAAGAAAACAGAAAAAAAGGAACATTAAGAATAAAATCAGCTGAAGCAGGAATAATAACAACAGCTTTTCCTGATTTGTAGCTGTTTAATTTTTATCCCTTTTCTGTAACTCTTGTTTTTTTTTCTTGTTTTTTGAACAAGTGAACCAACACATTGCCCACAGAGTAAAAATAATGCATTGACAATGAGAGTAAATATTACATGCATTTCTTTGTGGCCATTCTGTGTCTGTCTGTAATTATTTTGCACCTTTTCGTCATTGCTGTGCATCATTTTGCACTTTTTTGTAGTAATTTTGCACATTTTGTAGTTGTTGTACAGCTTGTTGTGAACATTGTGTGTCAGTTTGTAGACACTGTAAATCCTCTAGTCGTCATTTCGAAGTTGTAAATCTCTTTGTGGCCATTTTGCACTTTTTTGCAGTCATTTTTCACCTTTTCGGGGTTGTTGCACGTCTCCTTTGTGGGTTATGTGCGCAGTAGAAACATAAATAATTATCCTATGCTTAAGATGCGACTTTTAAAATGTATTTAAAATGTATTTTAGGGCTTTGAGATTCCTCTAAATGCTGTTTGATGGGTTTTCTGACAGGCTGAACTCAGTGCTAAGGAAAGGAGCGTCGTGCGTCATCACGCAGTGGGCGGGGCGACGTGACAACACGGAAGCAGCACTGTGGTCTCTCCTGTCTGGCAGCTCCTCCGTGCGGCTCTACTGTGAAGAGAAAACCAGAGATTTCTCCTCTTTTTGACCAGTTTGTTTGACCCCTGAAGCGTTGACTGTGTGATCCCGGACAGCAGGATGCTCTCACCGAGGTCAGTGTGATTGAAAACGTTCTCCACAGCAGCGGAGCTAACCGTTAGCATGTTTACACACCGGCTGCGAATGCCAGGCAGCCTCGTAAACCCCCTTGGTTTGTCCTGGTAATTTGTCTTTAATGACTTTAATAGTCTATAAATGAAGAATTCAGCCCCACCCAGGACGAGTGAACCATCCTCCAACAGGGCGGAGAGGCAGAGTTGACTGTGAGGGTGTGTCATGTCCAAACCAGTGCAGGAGATCCACTCAGAGCAGCAGAACATGGAGAAACCTGCTGGCAAAACAAACCAGAAGCCTCTCGGTATTATAGGCTCTTGTATTCATGAGCTTATGTTTTTATGAGTCATGATGTTTACTGCTTTTCCTCCACTACATTTATTAAGCAATTTTACTCACTGGTTTTGTCCAGATTAAGATTTCACTCACAAAACACACGATGAGTTTCTACTATTGCAACATAAGAAGATGAACTATGTCAGAAATACACACAGCAAGGACAGAACCAGCACATGTGACTGACAATGCTTCACTGAGAAAACATCTTAATGCAGTATTTTTACAGGTAATGGAGTATTTATTCATTTAGAAGGACGGCAACACTTTTTTTGTGCACATTTATTATGTTGTCTGATTAAATCTACTAATGGTGCCTTTAAAAACAAATAATAATAGATTTAAAATGTTTTGGTAATGAATCCCCCCCCTGACTAGATCCTTGTTTGTGTCCTATCTTCTCTCACATGTACGTCACTTTGGATAAAAGCTTCTGCTACATGAAGTTTTAGAAACTGTAGAATTGAATCAGCTCAGATTCTGTCAAGTAAATCAGTAAAATACTGCAAAAACCTGAAGACCGACTCTGTAGTTTCAATACAGTAACATTTAAAGAAGATGTTTTGTAAAGCTGCTGAACACAGCTGAAGGAGTTTGTCTCTGTGCAGGAGGCTCAGCTGTTCATGTGGGTCTGGACTGATCTGATGCAGTTATTTTTAGAAGACGATGTGTATGTAAGTGGATCTGCTAAACTTCAGGTCCTCTGAGGGTTTGTTATTTTTGCGTGTCGGCTGCAGGTTGCTGTTGCTGCGGTCGGCTGCGTCGTTGGGCAGCAGGTCGTTCTGCGCAGGAGCAGCGTCGAAGCAGGGCAGGGCGCCCGACATGGTCGAGGGTAAGACAGGACGCACACCTTCACCCGAGTGACCCTCATTCAACAGCACGCTCCCGTCAGACTGCAGGGATAAAGACTGTCACCAAAACACACACCTCCACTAAGAGACTGTCTTCTCCAAAGCCAACAGCTCACTGAATGCAAACTTAGTGCTGAGAAACTTCTTCCTTCAGTTCTTCCAAACACTGAGACAATCACTCCTCCACGCTGCGATGCATTTTCATTTACACAAGTGCAGTAGCTCTTAATAGTGTTTCCTCCTCTGAGGTACCATCGTTCATGTTGCTGCAGTTTGTAGTTTACATGTGGTGCAACATTACAGCTGAATCCGTAGGAAAATTCCAGCTTTTTTCAGCTTTATATTCACATATATTTGACATTTATCTTAATTTTGATGATGTTTTTCTGAGTTATAATATTGACATTTCATCAGGAGCAGCAGCACTTCTAATGTGTTGTATGCAGAGCTAACGATGACAACACAGGCTTCAGATAATTAAAGTTAGAGGTTACTTTACTGATTATTTATGTTCCACACTTTTGCAAGCTCTATGGTGTTGTAACGTCATCTTTAAATGGGTACGGTTGCCTTTTTTCTTCATCAGTCTGCTCTCAGGGATCCCAGACAAAGTGAAAACATGTTTTTATGAAATCTCTCAAACTCGTTCATACCTTTAAATCAGAATTTTGTCGGCAGCAGCTCCGGCTTTGCACACAAAGGCTTTCTGGCAGTTCACAGTTTTCACGTGGATGTTTTTTTGCCACCATATTAAATTACTGTTAGATAATGTGACAGTTATGAGGCTGTTGTGTTCTTTTGTGTTGTTGCTGTGCCAGTTAGATAACGAAAGATTAATCAGCAGCAAAGTCTAATAATCAATTCATAGTTTTTTGGGCTCATAAAGTGAGATTTTGCTAAATTTCTTTGTTGTAAAAGAACAAGTTGAGCAAGTCATCTTGGGATTCAGGAGTGAGTGACATTCTTTGGATCAAACCTTTAATGATAAATTTGGAAAAACACGACAGAAGCGGAATCAACATGCACAACATTTTTCCCACAGCTGTTACCGATATCGGAAAGAAAATATACGACAGATATTTTACTATTCCCATTTTTAATCTGTTCCCATACATGCTCCGTGTTAACACTGCCTGCAGTTCAGCTGAACACTCTCTGAATTTTTGTCACGTGATTGTTGGTCACAGAGGAGTCAGTCCTGGCTTCTCAGCTGTGCCCCGGAGTGCAGAATTTTTTGTTTTTTACCAAATTTGTTTGATGTCAACAGGATTTTTTTTATTGAGTTTTTAAACTAAACCTGTAGAATAAAGCCAATATAATTAAATGTCATGATTTAGGCTTCGTTTGACCGTCATCAAGTTGAAAATGTGACAATTCTTTGTGTTTTTACAGTTTCTGGCTCTGATAAACTGTGTATTTTAAAGCCGATGGCAGGTTTTGGAGTTCAGAAAGTCAAACAAACCTCAACGTTTTGTTGTTTTTTTGGAGGTTTATCGTGTTGATCCGTCCTCCTCTGCCCACTGACTCTGCATGTTTTTAATCAGTTCTGTTTCTCCACAGGAAACCCACTGTTACACGTGTCCAACGGTGTGTGTTGGTAAACCAAGACGAATCCTAACTCTCTGAACCACTCGTTAATTCTCCTCTAATTAGCTGCACTCTAACTTCCTCCTGCATGTGTTTCCACTGAAGCGCACCTTGTTTCCGCTGCTCACCCGTTCAGGCTTTTGTGGATGTTGTGCTCGGCGACGTCTCCTCTTCTGGCACAGATGTAAAACTCTCCCTGTGGCAGTTAACCTCTTTCCCTCTTCCTCCCTCTGTGGCGCTGAGCTTCAGTATCTGGTTTTGTGTCGTCTCTCTGTTTGAGCTTCACCGAGCTCCAGTTGTTTTACAGTTTTAGCCAAAAGTCGGTGCTGAGCTGCTTCGATCTCTTTGCTTTCTGGAGGCTTCTGCTGTAAAAACAAGCAGCTTCGGTGTTCGTTAGGCGACTTTCCTGAACAGAGACAGTATGAAACCTGCCGCCTGGACTCTCTGCTGCTCTCACTGCTCTGCTCTCTGAACTCGCTCCTTCTCACTGTTGGTTCTGTGTTTTTCCAGTGAGGAACCGGCTCAGAGAAATCGTGGGAGCTTCAACCAACTGGAGGTACTGAACCATCTTTTTATATCCTGATATATGCTTGTGTGTCGTCCTTGTGTGGTTTTATTGTGTGCTGGATTCTCACAGGTAAAAATTAAAAAGCAAACTTTCTACATTCACCAGTTTAATTTTTTGCATGTTTTGTTTTTCCATCATAAACTTGCTGTAGTTTCATTTCATCACACTAATGCACTGTTTCAGACAAATATTGGAATAAATAACTCTAATGTTTAGTAATATATGTAATATTTTAAATGTCTTCTGTAAATTTCTGTACTGTTTATATTTCGGACTTGAATGGGAGCAACTGTCACTGAACTCAAACAGCTTCTTATTTGTGTTTTTCTTTTTTTTTTTTAAAAAAAAAAAACCTCTCTATGCACTAAATTAAACTTTAATCATATTAGATCATATCTTTGCATTATTTCCCCATTCCACACTAGTATTTAAATTGTAATTTTGTGTGTTCATAGTATTTAATTTAATTTAATTTAATTTAATTTAATTTAATTTAATTTAATTTTATTTTATTTTATTTTATTTCATTTTATTTTTTTAGTATAATTTATTTTGTTTTTATTTATTTTGATTTTTATTTGTGTTTTATTTTATTTATTTAATAATTTTTAAATTAATTAATTAATTAATTTTTAAAATTCTATTTTTATTTTATATATTTCAGACATGCCACAACACCATAAAGGCCCAAAAAAAAGAAGAAAGAAATGTAAAATAAGTCACATGAAATGAAAAGAAAACCTTCAAATAAAATCTGAAATCAAGTAAATAAATAATAATAATAATAAGTAAATTAAAATTTACTTTAAGGTCACATAAAGTGTGACATTTTTAAAAGGTGGAGAAAAATATGGACTCAAACTTAAATCAAATAGATTTTAGTTTATTTCATGTTTTTATTTCCACTAATTCTGAATCATTAATTTTATTCTGTATTTGTCAGGGTGTCAAATTGTTTTTATTTATTTTTTAACTATATAAATGTGAATCATTGCACTTTTTTAACTAAGCTGCTATGATGACTAATATTAATATTTAGAGTTGCATATAATTATTTTTTACACTCGTATCGATGCTCCTGATGTCAATACAAGACTTTAATCATTTATTTCTGTTTATAAAATACCATAAAAAACAAATATTACAAACAAACAGAAGATAAAAGTGGCTCAAGACCCCTTTAGGAATCAATAGTAATGAAAAAAACGACATATTTACAGCAATAAATCCAGAGAGTTTCTGTTTCTGTGATATGTTCTGTCGGCAGCGACCACCAGCAGGCCATGGCGGAGCGCGTCTCGCTGTCGTCCATGTTGGCCTCGTCCCAGCAGGACCTTCCAGTCAAGAGGATGAAGGACAGCTACCTGGAGGTTCACCTGCCTCTGGGCTCCCAGCCGCAGCTCCGAGAGAAGTACCTGACCTTCCACAACACCGTCAGGTAAAGCCACACCAGCAGAACCAGCAGAACTGCTTCATATACTTGACTAGAAGAACAAATAACTCCACAAATGTACAACTAATCACTCTGACAGATGTAGACACTTACGGATAAACTTCCTCGCCTTGTGTACACTTTGTTGATGGCAGGAAAACCACATTTATACGTCCCCAACGTGGCAATAAGGTATGGCCAAGTCCTTCAGGAAAGTCTGTAAACACAAGATTCCCAGACAGGACAGAGACTGGGCCTGAACGCTGTACGTGATAAAGTGTTTTTGGACAGAAGAGCTGCGACTAATCAAGATTTCCATGATTTTAATATGTCAGAAATTGTTTAAAAAAATGTGTTTCCCAAAGCTTGAGATGGCAACAACCCTCATGTGTTCATTTTACTGTCACAAAGGATGTAAATCAGAACATTTTCACGTTTAGGAAGCTTGAGTCGGAGTGAATCGATGATCAAAGTAGATTCATTGGTGCAGTTGCAGGATAAAAAGTCGATGAGATGAGCCTTTAATAGTTAATAGTTTGCAGCAAAAGGGGAAGTGCAGAAATGTAGGAAGCATCGGTAGGAAATAAACGAGTATAATGTACATAAATGTGGTCAATGCAGAGTCTTCAGTTTGTAGAAATCAAAGCAGTGATCGTGCTCAGGGTTGCAGGACTGATGCTGCACACAGAACAGAGTCTCACTGCCGCCTCCAACCCGTCTCCTGTGTGGTTTCAGGTTCGGTCGGATCCTGGAGGATTTGGACAGTTTAGCAGGTACCTCTACAAATAATGGTTTAAATTCAGACGAGACTAAAAGCTTCCCTCAGTCCAACTCTAAAGCATCTTCCTCCTCTTCCTCCTCAGTCCTCATCTCTTACTCCCACACCTACAACTCGGCGCTGAAGAGGTCTCCGCTGTCCATCGTCACCGCCCTGGTGGATAAAATCGGTGAGGCTCTCTGACATGGAGGCTACGATCGGCTTGTTTCGCTCGTTTCTCTGATGTTTTTTTTCTGTTTTTGATTTGTGGATCAGACATGAGGCAGCACATCATCTACCCCGACTGCGACATCAAGTTCAGCGGCCGCGTGACGTGGGTGGGACGGACGTCTATCGAGGCCAAGATGCACATGTCACAGGTAGACACGCCGCCTTTTTGGACAAGAATTTGCAACAGAGACTCTTTCACGTCAAAGTGAAAACAGATTTCTACAAAGTGATGTCGATTAATGAAAAATACGACACGTTAAATAAGTGATTGCTCCCCCTTCAAGTCTCAATCCGCCCAGACATCTGGAGTTTCACTTTTTTCGTCTTTGTTAAACTGCTGAAGATCCGTCAGGTTGCACAGGGATCATGAG